TTCTCCTTCCTCTTTTTTTTTTAAAAAAAAATGCCAGCATGGTGCTTTTCAAATGTTGTTGGACTCCAAGTCCCATCAGCCTAAGGCAGCATGGCCAATGGTGATGGATGATGCGAATTGTAATCCAGCAACATCTCGAGGCAACCACATTGGCTACCCCAGTGTAAATAATGCCTTTATATGGTTTGCTCCATTAATGTGGAACCTGTGACACCCTGATGCTGTTGGACTACAGATCCCATCATCACTAAGCATTGGCCATGCTGGCTTGGGCTAATGGCATATAAGGAGGCTCTCCATCACTGGTTCAACCACTAGGTGGCCCCGGACTTAATAGTAGCTGGGTTGATAGGAGCTGTTTCCTGTTGCTGTTCTTCTCTTGCCAGGAAGAGAGGCCTTTTGCCACCTAACAATCAGATACAAGACTTGTCATTGCAAATCCATCACAATATGCCCATCACTACCTCCCATGGTGCCCAAGAAAGGTGTCAGTAGATATCTCCACAAAAATTTGCTCTTCCTTTTTGCCCTGTTTCAACTTTTTCTGCAGAGAACACATCTGCTAACATGCTCAAATTTCATTGGGTGCCATGTTTGGACATCCATGCTATTCTCCCATCCATTTTGAATAGAGAAGCCCCTGTCTCCTTTTCTGTTCCTTTGGATGTGACCTCCTTTTTGTCTTAGGCCACACCCCACAGCAGCCATTTTGTCTTCACAGCAGGCATTTTGTGACTGGCAACCACAGAAATTCCTCAACATTTCAAATGTTCCCACTGGCCCCAAATGATTGGTGGGCTATTAGTTAGTGTGTAGGGCTAATCCCTCTCTCTCTCTCTCTCTCTCTCTCTCTCTCTCTCTCTCACACACACACACACACACACACACACAAAATCTAAGTTAAGTGTTTCTAATGTCAGGCATACTAAATTTCTTATTGTCAGAGCTGGCTCCAGGTCCCAGCTCACAGAGGACCAACGCTAGCCGGTAGTAATGTACAAAAGTCTTTATTGAAGTACAGTTTCCATTTTCAAGCCGCAGCGCCCAGCTCTACGTCTTAGAAGCTAGACCGGCGAAGCTCCGTCTGAGTCTCCACCCCCTGTACACCAGTTTAAGACTCTAACCTTACTCCACCTCTTCCGTCTCTCCTTTCTCCTCTGGGTCCTTCTGCCCCCCGGGGTCTCCTCCTTTCTGGACTCTTCTGACGCTGACGCTGACCCCCCTGACTCCTGTCCCTCCTTTCTGCGGGCTTTAGGACCTGGCTCCCTATCCGGGCTACCAACTGCGCCGCCCTCCTGCACATTTGAACTTGGCGCGCGCGCCCAGCCTCCAACCTTCCTCTTGACCGTTTCCTCGCTCTCCGATGGAGGCGTGGCCAATCCTGACTCATCTCCTCCCGCTGGCGGTGAGCCGCCTGATCCCGATACCTGGGACTCCTCCCCCCTACTGCGCTCTGGTGGGGAAGCTGGTCCTGATTTCCAACTGCTGCTCTCTGAGTCCCCTCTGGCCCCTTCTTCCTGGGGTGTCCCCCTAGGCACCCCCCTTGCTCTGACCATGGGAGCCCCTTTCTGTGAATCTTCCGATTCGCTGGAAAGACTCAGAGACCTCGGGCCACTGTCATCGCTAACATTTCCTTCGGATTCCTCCCCCTCGCTCTCTATTTCCTCCCTTTCCTGTGCCTCTGCTCCTGAGCCCCTGACACTTATGTATGTTCCAAATACTTCTATTCTTCCATTCTTTTCCCCATTATGTATTTCCCATATTTACAAGCAGGCTACCAATAAAATGGATTCATATTGCCCATATAGGAGATGGGATCTAGTTAGCTTGAGGAATCAGAAACAATGTTGAGCTAATCCAGATCTTATACCCATGCTTGCAGTTTGCGTAGGGTGGTGGAGTGTGATTGCTTTCTGTAGGTCCCATCTTTATACATCCATAAGTTGGCAAGCATCTAATTATTTGAAGAGTGGAGTTGAACAGCTGCATCTTACAATCTAAGAATAAATAGTTTCCTGGGTACAAACCGAAGACCATGTGTTTTTAATAACCGTACAGCTTACAACCAGTAAAAGAGGAAAAGTGCCACAGACAGAAAAGTTCACTAGTGTGCTTGCAAATTGTCACGTTCAGTACTAGGAAAAATGGGGCACATGAGGAAGATGGGGGTGGGGGTGACTGTTCCAGTTATAGCACTTAATCACAAAAACCCTGTCAGTAGGCTAAATACCTCTGGCAAAGTTAAGTTAATTAAAAGTGGATTTGTACTTCATCTTTTAAGTTAATTAAAGGTGAAGTTGCACTGTGTCTTTTACAGATGATGGTGTCATTACTCTGGCTCACGCAACTACAAATTGTATTCTTCTTAATGAAAATCTCTTCATAACACTTCCATCTGGGGCTGTTTAAGATGCTGTTGTTTTCGTTACACTGCTTCAGAAATACCGCATGGTTATCCAAGTATCTGAGACCACATGAAGCTTGGAGGTTATCCATGGTTTATTGAAATGCTTTCTGTTTCGGGGGAATCTATGGAGATTAGTGTTGTGATCTGATTGGGGTTCTGATATGCATTCAGGTCCTGGTTATGAGTTTCCCATAGACATCTGGTTGGTTGGTCACCATGCAAAAAGTATGCTGGACCAGGTGAGCCATTGGTCAGATCCAGCAGGGCTCTTATACCCGTTTAGATGATTCACATACATGAGTCCAGGAAGCTTCCAAGTTGTTACAACACTTGTTTGCTCAGTGTTAACATCTTCCTGCAAGGCATCAGAGGTTGAGGATCAGAGTTTTCCCTCTCCTAGATTCGCTACTTTAGGGTTACCGGACGTCCCCAGTTCCCGGGGATAGTCCCCGGATTTGCAAATCTGCCCCGGACAAATTCCGACCCTGGAATATCCCCAGATTTGCAAATCTGTCCCCAGGAAATGTGGCAGCGGCAGCATCAGCAGAGCCAGCCTGTTAACGCAGTTGGCTCTGGCTGGCTTCAGGAGCTGCTTGATGCTATGGCACAGGAAAAATGGTGGACGCCATGGCAGCGAGCAGCTCCCGAAGCCAGTCAGAGCCAACTGCACTACCAGGCTGGCTCCTCTTGGGCAACAGCCGCCCATCCATGACTCCTGAGCCTCCCCTGATCTGGCAAAACAAAGGGGGAAGGGGGAAAGAGATCGGGGAAGGCTCGGGAGTCACGGGCGGGCGGTTCACCGTTGCCCAGTTTAAAAAACAACAACTCTGTGCATTTATGTTTCAGAGAGTGCGAGAGAAGGGCTTTGCACCTTTATATAATATGTATGTGTGCTTGGGCCCGGGGTCTTTTGCCTCACCACCCCCAATACTGGCTCTCTGTTGCTACTCAACTTCAAAAAAAAAAAAAAAAGTGGCCCCGGATTCGTTGAAAAAAATCTGGTAGCCATACGCTACCTTCCTAGGGTCACCAGCCCCCTCACTTGCTTCTACAACATGTACAGAAACTACCTTCTTGACTGTTGGACGCACTATTGGTCTCACCCACTCAATCTGCCAGAGCCTGTCTTCACATGCAAGGGAGAGATGCAAAATGGAGCCAGGCAGAGGTGTAGTGGTTGAAGGGCTGGACTAGGAGGACCTAACAATTGGTGGCAGGGAGAACCATGAAGGCCACCTTGAGCTCCTGGGAGGAAAGTGGCCTAGGACTGTCCTATTACAGTGGTACCTCGCAAGACAAAAAACTTGCAAGACGAAAGGGTTTTTTGTTTTTTGAGCTGCTTCGCAAGACGATTTTCCCTATGGGCTTGCTTCGCAAGACGGAAACGTCTTGCAAGTTTGTTTCCTTTTTCTTAACACCGTTAATACAGTTGCGACTTGACTTTGAGGAGCAACTCATAGCACGCGGTGTGGTAGCCTTTTTTGAGGTTTTTGAAGACTTTGGTGATTTTTGAAGCTTTTCCAAAACTTTTCCGACACCGTGCTTTGCAAGACGAAAAAAATCGCAAGACGACAAAACTCGCGGAACGAATTAATTTCGTCTTGCGAGGCACCACTGTAAATGTAAATGATGAGAGGGGAGAGAAAAGGGGGAGGCAGGGGAAGAGTGTGGAGGAGCTGAGCTCTCTGGAGAAGACTGGCCGAGTCAATTTCCAGAGAGCCATGGCTGTGCAGGGGACCCCAGGACTCACCCCACACCCCCAGGAGACCAAGAGAAAGCAAAGGAATCCTATTTACAGTCTGCACATTTTGTTCATGAAGAATTCCCACCCTCCTCTCTAAACTAGCCTGATTCACTGCAGGACAGTTTGGGGGAGAAGGGGAGACAAGCCGCCACATCATACAACTGTATGTCTGGCAATGAAAATCCACCTCTTTATTTTATATCTATTAACATTTTATATTTAATTCTCAGTTTCTTCCCTTGCCAGACAAGGCCACTCTGAGCCTGGTTTTGGCCGGGGAGAGCAGGGTATAAATAAAAAGTTATTATTATTAAACCTAGAAACATATTTTTGCCATTCTTTGAAGCATCTTGTTCTGCCTACTATTGGAGTGGTTTGAAATAAAAATAGAATTTTGGGCAAAATGGCAAAATATATTCATTTTTAAAATCAAAATTCTTCCCATTAGAGAGAGTTTCATTCTTCCCCATAACTCAAAGTTTTTCCCCTATATCTTTTCATGTCTTTACATAATTGTCTTGAAATATATTGGAGTTTTTCGCTGTTAACCATATTTCCATATACTTCACCTTTTTCTCAGTTGTCAGCCCCACTGGCCATCTGCCAATCTTTTTTTGCCTGTGCATCCATATTTTTCACCAAAACCTTAGTTTTAGTTGTTTTAAGACCTCCAACTATTTCCTCATTTCCTCCAATAACTTAGGTACACTTTTTTATAAGATTTTTTATTAGGAATTATAACATAACATTTTATCAATAAAACATATCATCCTCATTTCCCCCCTCCATTTTTTCCCTTCCCCTTCCCCAAAATAAATCATCTGCCCCCCTCCTGATTCTCAGTGAGTGCCTCTTCTTCTGCCAGTCTTTGGCCAGTTGAGATGTCCAAATAGAGCAGCAATTCCTTCAAGGAGGAAAATCACAGCTCCTCGATGATGATGTCATCTGGATGGAAAAGAATGAAAAAGAGAGAAAATCTGTTCAGTCCTCTCCGCTTCTTGTACCTGGAGTCAGTCTGGGTGAGAACAGCAGTTCTCCCAGGCCAGGTGGGAAAGGCCTGCCAGGCAGGGAGCAGGTCCTGCAGGACTCCCAGCAAGAAGACCTGGGAGGTGTGTCTTGGGCAAACAAGGGACAGGGAGTTCACTGTCCCCAAGGTGTGGGACTTACCTTCTTTCAGATTATTCCTGAAACAAGCCAGCTCCGGCCGAATTACTGTGTTCTGCAGAGGAAAGACAAATATGAGTCAGTTGACACTATGAACCCCACCCTGGATGGGTGTAAGAGAAGCAGCCCCACCCAGGAAGGATGGAAGCACCAACCAAAGAACTGAATACAGGAAGGCAAAATACTTACTCTGAGGTTCGGGAATCTTCGTGAAAGGGCCAGCAGCAGGGATATACTGCTGGCCCCTAATTTCCTTTGGTCTTCACTCCCCAAAAGGGCGTAATATCGGAGGTCCTGCGGGATGAAAGAAATGGGACAGTCAGTTGGGTAAGGGACAGGGGAGCAACCCTAAAACCACTCCTGATAATATTAGGATACTTACGGTAAGCAACTGGAGAAGGGTGCCAGTATTGGGGGCTTCTAGGAGGAGACCCCCCAGCAGGCTTTGGAATGGCCTTTTCAGTTCCTGTGGGAAAAGAGAGAAGAGAGGTTGAGTCTAAATTTTGTAAGAGTGTGGGAAGAAGAAAGAGCTGTACAAAGAGAAGTTAAAGCAGAGGACAGACCTCTTTGTCCTCCTCTGTGCTCCCCAGAACTGCCTCTGTTGTTCTATGGAGGATTTCACTCACCACAGAGGGACTGAAGTGGGGTCTCATAAAACTAGAGAGAGAAAGGGAAGGGTTTAGACACTGCCTCCTCCAAGTCTCCCTTGTCCCCTTCTCCCTCCTGCCTGACTTGCGCACCCAAAGCTCCCCCTGGAGTTCTGCCCCCCTGCAGCCCCACCCACCCCGAAGACCCCACTCACCTCAACTGCAGGAGGGCCTCGAAGGCCAGGGCCAGGCTCAGGGGCGATCCCTGAAGTACTCCAAGTGGCCGAGGATGTTCTAGAAGAGAGCAGAGGAGGAAAGTCAGCTCCTTCCCGGAGTCTCCAGAGGACGGCTCCAACCTCAAATGCCAGCCCCTCTCTTCCCCTCTCTGCCCCTCCCTCCCCATGGGGGTCCCTCACACCACCCATCACCCACCAGAATGGCTTTGGCCGTCTCCTCCTTGGAGTACTTCAGGGTTCGGAGCTCCCTGAGCCGAGCTGCCTGGCAGTCCTGGATGATGCCCAGAAGCTGGAGCTGATCTTTGTCCAGCAGCTGAAAGGCAAAAGTCAGGCTGTCAGTTCCTTGTGGGGGGAGGGCTCCTCCACATCTGAGAGTGCAGAGTGGAGTGCAAGAGGGGGGCAGGTCTGAGGGATCCTCTCCCTGTTCTCGTTTTATCCAATACTCACCGCAATGGAAGGGATGTGGATCCCCAGCACATCTGCAAAGTGAAGGACATGGGGACAGGTGAGTTCATCCCTGAGCCCCTTGCAAGGCTTTTCCAAGAGTTTTCTCCTGGATTCCAAGTCCTACTAGAAGGAGAAGGACACCCCAGGCCTTGGGGGGCCAATCCTGACCTCCTGCCCCCAGAACATGGCTCCCCAGGGAAGATGCCCCTCCCGCTGACAATTGCACCCTGCCTTGCCCCGCAGCCCAGCCCCCTGCTTCCTCCAACAGACCCCACAAAATGGGGTGGTTGCTCGGGGGGGGGGGTTGGGTTTCCAGATGCTGTCGCAGATAGGCGGGTTGGATCCAGCCATCTGGCTCTGTGAATCTTTTTACTAGATGCCCCCCTAGCCCATTCCTGCCCTCCTCCGTCCCCAAAAGGAGGGCCACTTGCTCACCCGACACCGCGGGCTGCTCCAGGACTTCCAAGGGGGCCACCTTCTTGCAGCTGATCAGCCGCCTTAAGCGCCTGAACCTAGAAGAGACGAGCAGAGAGAGCGACTCAGAAACTGGCAGCCCCAATTTGTGTGTGTGAGAGAGAGGAGGGGCGCCTGGCCCAATTCCTGCAATCTCTCTGCAGTTCTGTGACCTGAAAGGGCATCGGCAGAGCTGGAAAAAGGCAGCCCAGAGCATGAATGGCTGGCAGAGAGAGAAAGGAGGCTCCAAGTGCTATGGGTTCAAGAGCTCCAGCCCAAAGGAAAGACAAGCATTTCCAGCTGTTAAAGGGCTACTCTGCCTCGTCTTCTTAGGACAGCCCTGCCCTTCCTTGGTGAGGGTGGAGACCCCCAGGAAGAGGGAGAAGGCCAATGTTGTAGGGCAGCTGGAGAGATGCAAAATGGAGCCAGACAGAGGTGTAGTGGTTGGAGGGCTGGACTGGGAGAACCTGGGAGAGCAGGGTTCAAATCTCAACTCAGCCATGAAGCTCCCTAGTGGACCAGAGAGCTAAAGCTGTGGAGGGGACCCTGGGACTCACACCCCGCCCCCAGGAGACCAAGAGAAAGCAAAGGAATGGTACTTACAATCTGCACATCTTCTTTACAAAAAATCCCCCCTCCTTTCTAAGCTAACTACCTATCTAAAATTCCCACCCAAGCCTGATCCCAAACTCTGATCCCACCCCCAAACCCAGCCCTAAGCCCAAACCTAACCCCCACCCTAACCCTACACTTACCCCTAACTATTCTTCTATAAACAAAATAAATGTATACAAAATGCGCACAAATGCGCACAAATATGCAAAAAATCAAAAATCAAAATAAGCGCCAAGGGCCTTCTGCTGGTTTCCTCACTGCGAGAAGTGAAGTTACAGGAAACCAGGCAGAGGGCCTTCTCGGTGGTGGCGCCCACCCTGTGGAACGTCCCTCCCATCAGATGTCAAGGAAATAAACAACTACCTGACTTTTAGAAGACATCTGAAGGCAGAGGCATAGGAAGGAGTATGTGGTTGGGGCCGTTTGCCCCAGGTGTCATTACTGAGGGGAGTGACAAAATGGCAAAAATATGTGTTTTTTAAATGAATTCCCCTCCCCCCCCCAAGGTAAGATAAGCCACGCCACTCCTGCCTGGGCAGCTGCCTCAGAGCGACTTAGGGAGATGCTGCTGTGACTGCAGCAGGAAGAGGAGGACGGACAGCGATCCCTCCCTGAATGCCTCTGTTCGTTTCACCACTATGTGCTTGTCCTCCTTCCTCTGGACCCAAATTACATGCAGGGCTTGATGGAGATGAAGTTGGAAGCAAATCCTGTCACTGGTCCCTCACTTAAAAGATGGCAGCGAAACTTAGGCAGCATACATTTAAAACACATTGCTTCTCCCTGAGGATTCTTGGAACAGCAGTTTACCATTCAAAAAGCTACAGTTGCAGCCCCCTTAACAGACTACATTTCCCATGATTCTTAGGGTGAAGTCATGTCCTTTACATTTATGGCATTTGCCTCACAAAGGGGTGGAGGAGCGAGGCCATGGGTATCCATGTTTGGCATTGATCCCAATGATGATACATAGACCTTAGCAGTTGCTCAGCTATGCTGACCCCCAAGCACTCCAATTGGAGAGCAGCCTTTACCGAAGGCGTCATGGGTTTTGAAGACTCTCAAACTCAGGACAAAAGGGAGAAACATGCTAAGAAGAAGGCACGTTTGGCAAACCCTCACTGTGATCAACTTCCACCTGGAAACCAATGTCCCCACTGTGGAAGGAAGTGTGGATCCAGAATTGGCCTCCCCAGTCACTCACTGTTAAAATCATGTTCATGGAAGGCAATCTTACTCGGCTACAAGTGATCGATCGCCAGAGAAGAAGACAGAGTACAACGTATTCCCTCCACTGCTCCACGCACTTCCCTCCAAAATTCAAGCACCAGGGAAGCTAATAGTGTTTTTAATAATAATAATAATAATAATAATAATAATAATAATAATAATAATAATGCTTTGCTTAGACTAGCAAAATTGCAGGTATTCGTATTAGGACTAGGGCCCTGCGGGACTTGACATCTTTCCGCAGTGCCTGCAAGACAGAGCTGTTCCACCTGGCCTTTGGTTTGGACTCAGTCTGACCCTTATGTTTCCCTCCCCTTATGGTTTTGATCTATGGGCTACTTTTAAAATGAGGCTGCATTTTAAATTGCATTTTAACCTGTATTTAAAATTGGGTTTTTTCCCTATTATGTTTTTACTATAATTTTACTGGTGTTAGGCATCCTGAGCCCAGCTCTGGCCCAGGAGGGAGGGTATAAATAAAATGTATTATTATTATTTATTATTAGGAAGCCCATGAACAGTAGAATATTCCCAGTGCCCAAACTTATGTGCATCTTCTACACAAGGGCAGTTAGGGATTCTTCGGGCCAAGCAGTTCACCTTTATGATTTTTGGGGACTTGTAGCCATTTGGACTTGAAAATGGTTTGATCTTTTTTAAAAAAAACAAACAAAAGCACATCACCTAAAAAAGGAATTGCATTATAGCTGGCATCAGGTCACGGAGGCCATGTCATTATGAAGCTAATGAATTGTGACTTCATGCCACCTGAAATGTTCAATGAACAGAGCCCTTTGTCTCAAAGCCTCAGTGTCAATTCTTCCTCTCTGTGGCTTGTTAAAAAAAAAGGGGGGGTCTAAAGGTTCTAAAAGCTAAAAATGAACATGGTGGAAGGATCATGAACTCTGAGCGATAAAGAGAGAGAGAGAGATATCACTTCTGATCACCCCCTAACCGAAGGGCCAGTTTTTCAACAGGTTTAAAAGCTCATTCAGGGAGGTATGGTGGGGAAATGGAACTCTGGAAGAGACCAGCCTCATTCCAGAAAATGCCAGCTTCTTAAATTGGTTCTAAAATTAATTATTTTATGGTCTGCTGCAGACAATTGCCAATCGGTGACAAGATCTGGAAACCATCAGGGTATAACTGAAGCTCTGACTTCTGTTATAAAGATGTATGTTATATAAGTAAGCTGGCATCATCAGATCGCTGGCCAGAATATCTTTTCACATTTTTTTTCCTGGCTTTTTTCCCTAGCTAGAATTTGCGTTATCCATAATAATTTCATTTCTATTTTATTTTACTGTACAGTTTTATGCGTGATTGTTGTAAACCACTCTGATCTTCCTTTATGAATAGTGGTATATAATTTTACAGTACAGTATATAAATAATGACAACTACAATAATGCCAATAAAGGAGATACGATTACAAATAGACCCAGAAGAAGAAGAAAAACTTGGCATTTTAAGAGACAGCTTTATCATCCCCTCGGAAGGCACAAAACTCTCAGGAAGAAAAGAGTCTCCTAGCAATTAAATGGTGTTCCTGCTCCTGTACAGCCACGGGGCTGTTTGAAGTTATTGAAAATGCAGCCTCCTATTTTCCTCTAAGTAAGTAGGGAATGAGACGGAAGAAGATAAAAAGGGAGCAAAAGGTGCGAAGAGATTATTTGCTTTTAAGGAGGGGGGAGCTATACTACAGCGTTTTTTTATTTCCAAGTGAAAATTCAAGAGAAGGTTGCAACCAGCCACAAGTCATCTCCACTCCTATGCCAGACCCTAGCCCCAGAACATATGACCATCACCAGCTGCATTCTGGGTGCTACTGCTTAAGCACGGCCACTGTTGATGGAAACCAGTCCCTATTTTCCAGGGACGGTCCTGGATTTACAGAAGTCATCCTGGTTTCTGATTTGATCCCGGAATATCCCACTTCTCCTTAGGATGTCCCTATTTTCATCAGAGAAATGGTAGAGGGTATGGAATTATGTGACTCCCTGAGCCAAGGAGAAAAGTAACTATACAACCTTCAGAATACATCTGAAGGCAGCCCTGTATAGGGAAGTTTAGTAATGTTTAATGTTTTGTTGTGTTTTTATGCATGGTTAAAGCCGCCCAGAATGGTTGGGGCAACCCAGTCAGATGGGTGGAGTATAAATAAAAATAATAGCTGTTGTTGTTGTTGAATAGGACACCCCCATTTTCATTGGAAGCGTGTTGGAGGGTATGTAATGGAGGACAGGAAAAGGGCATGGATCTTCTTGCCCACCAAGACTTTAAGTGCCTTTTTCCTTCCAGGTTCGGGGCAAAGAGTAAAGAGAAGAAGAAGAAGAAGAAGAAGAAGAAGAAGAAGAAGAAGAAGAAGAAGAGGAGGAGGAGGAGTTTGGATTTGATATCCCGCCTTTCACTCCCTTTAAGGAGTCTCAAAGTGGCTAACATCCTCCTTTCCCTTCCTCCCCCACAACAGACACTCTGTGAGGTGAGTGGGGCTGAGAGACTTCAGAGAAGTGTGACTGGCCCAAGGTCACCCAGCAGCTGCATGTGGAGGAGCGGAGACGTGAACCCAGTTCCCCAGATTACGAGACTACCGCTCTTAACCACTACACCACACTGGCTCTCCGTGAGGTGAGGCAGCAGCCAAAGAGGCAGCAGCCAAAGAGAAGTTGAGGGAATGAATCCAATGCACAGCTGGTCCCAGGAAGTGAAAGGTACTAACCCGGCTCAGACAAAAGTAAGATCCATAAGAGTTTTGCTGGGTCCACCATCACATTGACAGGGCCAAACTGGTGCTTCCACTGGTGCATTTGCACCAGCTAGCCAGCCAGCCTTCTCTCCTTCTCCATGTCCCTCTGCCTCCCAATAAGTAGCAGCAATTTGAGTGAATGGAGGTCAAGCGAGCATCAACACCCAGCACACTGTCTGCTACTGACCAGATAACTGTCTACTTCTCTGAGTTGGTTGGTATCTGACCAGCTCCTGTCTTGGCTGCTGGAGAGAACCACTGTGATGGCGGACCCAGCAAATCTCTGCGGAGTGTGGAAATGAGGGGGGGACAGGACCTCTCTTAAAGCCTTTCCTATTATGTTAGACTCGGTGCTTTTTTCTGAGGAGACGCAGGGGTATGCATACCCCTAAACATTTTGTGTATCTAAGTTTGGCCTCATTGAGGGTCAGTATTTCAATATGAGTAGGAAAATGAAAGTACAGTGGTACCTTGGGTTACATACGCTTCAGGTTACAGACTCTGCTAACCCAGAAATAGTACCTCAGGTTAAGAACTGTGCTTCAGGATGAGAACAGAAATCGTGCTCCAGCGGCGTGGCAGCATCATGAGGCCCCATTAGCTAAAGTGGTGCTTCAGGTTAAGAACAGTTTCCAGGTTAAGAATGGACCTCTGCAATGAATTAAGTACTTAACCTGAGGTACCACTGTACCACTAAACATTTGTTTAGAGAGAGAAAAAGCACTGGTTATACTGAAAGCCCCTGGGGTGAGTGAAAGGTATGGCCAGTTATTCTTTCCTTGCCTCTGTCATAATACTGTCTCTTGTGCTTGTTTCAGTTTATTTGGGGTTTGATGTTTTTAATGTACAGTCATACCTTGGGTTACAGACGCTTCGGGTTCCACGTTTTCAGGTTATGGATGCGCCGAAACCAGAAGTACCAGAACGGGTTACTTCCAGGTTTCAGCACTCACGCATGCACAGAAGCACTAAATCATGCTTTGCGCATGCACAGAAGCACTGAATTGTGACCCTTGCATGCACAGATGTGGTGCTGCGGGTTGTGAATGTTGTGGGTAGTGAACATGTCTCACCCATGGATCACGTTCGCAACCCGAGTGTCCACTGCATAGGAATGTTCTGGATCATAATGTTATCTTATTATTGCAAGCTGTCTTGTGTGCATACTGGATGAAAAGGCAAGGTGTCAATCAATAAGCAAGCAATAACAAAGGCAATGGGATGGTGTTGTTCAATGGCACGTGATGTTACGCCATCTCTAAGATGGAGCAAATAAAATCACATGGACCAGCACAGCCAATCAGATGCAACATCGCACATGGGGTGACATTTTTTTAGTGATGAACTATGTGTTGATTTCACTGAGCTGTGAAATCTGCATAATAATAATAATAATAATAATAATAATAATTTGAGAAGTAGCTGGAAAAAGTTTGGTGTGGTGGAAGTTAGACTAGTGAGAAATATTGGTTCAGTCCAACTCTTTTCGAACCTGGAAGATAAATAATGATGGAAAGGCAATTCATAGAGAAAGGTAAGTCTTTGAAGAAATCTCTCCACTATAGGATAAGCAAGATCAAGGGGCTCATCCAGACTTCTGCTTTCACCTGTGGAGAACCTCATCTTTACTGCTGAATCAGAGCAAACATTAATCAGGTTTACAACAGATTGACATTTGCTCTGATTCAGCACTAAAGAGCGGGTTTTCCCAGGGAAAGTGGTGGGATAAACAGAAAACCACTCAGCAAGTAAAAAAACAAGTGGAAAACAGCTTGGACTTGTGCTTTTTAGGCACAGGACAAACAGAAATGTGGGCAAGTCCCTAGTCTGGCCAGTCAGAATTTAGGAAAGACCACTGGACAGGCAAGTGAATTGTGAGGACATAAGTTATTTGCCTTGCCCCTCTGTATATTTATTTAATTGCATAACTAATCTTCCCCCAAAACAGATTATTAATTTTACCGCCTATTGGCTTAGTGTCAGTTGCTGATTTTAGCTACTCCAGTGAGGCTGTTGCTTTTTTACTTTCATGCCAGTGTGGCTGGGAGTGGAGTTTCCATCCCAGAATGCTTCTAAAGCATGGAAACACAGGAATAAATTAACAGCAAACAAGAAAGAGCCTGA